AAAATAATTTCTACTTATATTTCTAAATTCTAATTCTTTGAAATTTTTTTGGAAATATTTTTTATTTTTATTCAAAATATATTTCATCAATAATCTTTTTAAATGTAAATATTTTTTTGGTATATTTGTTTCATTTTATATATATAAGTACTTTTTTGGTTCAAAAAATATTTAGGGACTTAATTACTTAAGTTCATTGGCTTTTTTTTTCCAGGTTTTTCCCTTATTTTATCACATTAATCAGTTTTATAGATTATAAGAATGTATCTAACATGTTTTTTAAAAGTCCAATGATTTATTTAACAGGTTTTGAAACGTCCAAGGACTTGTTTGTTCCAAAAAAATGTTCAAGAACTTAATCATTCCAAACACTAAAGTCCATTGGATTTTTTTAGACTTTTCTTTTAAAATATTATATGTTAATTTAAGAAACTGTTCATATTTTATAAGATAATCGTTAAATAATTAAATTTATATTTTTTTATAAACAAACAATAATATAATTTTATGTATATTTACACGAATTTTTTTAACAATTAACATATAAATCTTTTCTTCTCTCAATATCTTGGTTTGTTGGGAGGAGTTCAATGAACCTCACAACTTATTCGATAGTGGCTTAATAATTTAGAAAGTGGCTTATTCAGAAAGCCAAGTATTTTTCAAACCTACTCCCAATTAAAAAAACACACTCCTTTTATTCATGGAAAAAACCCTTTCAAACAAATCTTTTTCCAATCTATACAAACAGGTTAATCCACACTGATATCTTTATCCATACAGTATCTAATAGAAAACCAACCAAACACAGTATTCTTATTTAAACCTCCCTCTAAGATATTAATGGATTCCATTGGATTTCTTAAGAAATTGATCAAGTGGGACATCAGCAAAAAATGGAGATGTTTTTGGTTCCAGAAATATACACTGCCATTGCCATTGCCATTGCCAACCTCAATCATCTGTTTCATTTACACACATGATCACCCAGAAGACTCGATCACTTCACAAGCTCCTTACAAATTAGATACCGAAAACCGAAATTATGAGGAACCCATTCGATCATCTTTCGTGATTTCGCCAACTGATGTTTTCTTATGTTCTTCCTCACCGATTCCGGTAAACATTGTTGGATCATCTCCATCACGCCACCGGCACAGAGTCCTGAATCCTTTGCAAAGCTCTCGATGGCCTTCGGTAGAAGAATCTTATGATCCTTCGTTACACCGAATGTAGCCCTCACAAATTCTTCTTTCGCTCCTTCTAGTTCTTGGGTCACTCGTTTTGGGGTGTAAACGCGAATCTTGTAGAAAGAATCGACAAGAAGTTAATGGGTTTGTAGCATTTCGATGATCGGACAAGGGGTTTGTAGCGTTTCAAGATTCACATATTTATCGTACACTACAGCCAAATTGGCTCTATAGGATGCCAAATATGTTTAAATTTCTTAATAGACTCCTTTATAGGAAGTTTTTGGGCGTTCCAACAAACTTTTAGGACACTTTGAAAATGAAGCGTCGTATTAGTCTTTTTTTTTTTTATTAACCTGGATATCCAACCCGCTATACGAGCCGATTAATCCCAGAGCAACCACCTGCTTTGCAGATAGCCCGGAGTCACCGCATTTGAACCTCCGTGGCCACAAGGGGATTTTATTCCTCCTTGGATTTGAGACTAGGACCTCCTGGTACTTTTGACCTTTGGAGCTAAGCTCAAACCAATCAGGCACCACCCTTGTGGTTAGTAAAAAGATGTGTTCGTTGGACACTTCTGGAAAGTGTCCTAAAAAAGCTGATATGACATTATATTTTGAAGTCCCTTAAAACTTGCTAGGATGCAATGTTTGGTCCTATAAACTCAAGTCTTATAAAACAGTCTATTATGGTACTTAGACATATTTGGTGTCCTATAAAGCCGATTTCGTTGTGGTGGTGGTAGTCTAAAGATGAAGGATACATACCGCAGGATCGGAATGGCATCCTGAAGAAAGCGCAAAGTGCAAAAGGGGTTCCGGATGATCAATTGCATAACCTTGGCGTGCATCTCCCGCTTTGAATTTCGTTCTTGAAGATAATAAAAGTCGAAGCCACTGCAGAAACGAAGTAGGCGTCATCAATAGAAGTCGAGTAAGTAAGGCCACGATTGGCAACCATAAGCTAGCTTATTGAAAAAACCCTTTTTGTTGGCCATCAAGTACTATTTCAATAAGCTCCAGAGGCTTTATCCCAAAAAAATTCCAATTATACCCCTTCTATTTTTCCGGTTAATTTTTCAACATGTCCTTTTAGGTCATTTTACATCGCCATCCAGCTTATCAACTAGTTTATCACCTAGTTTTCAGTTAACAATTAGCTTATCGGCAACAGCTAGTTTGCCGAACATAGCCTAAAATTTTGGGATTATTTCAAAGTGAAATGAAGGATATCTCGAGTTGAAGAACCTACCTGGCCGGGACGAGACATTTTGCATCCGAGGATAGAGTTCTGGATTACATCCGCACTTACCACTTGACCGCCAACATTATACGCAGCCTGCAATGAACACGAAAGATGCCAATTTCATACGGTCTTTTAGAGTTCAACCCGGCCAAGAAAAGGTTTAGAGAAACGAGTGTTCTAAAAGGTACATACTTTTAATAACAAAAAGACTCTCTTTATGTTGTTCTGTGGAATCCCGTAAGCCAAAACAGCCTGTGATGACATAAAACAACGATTCGTGTTACGTTAGTTCTTGTTGATTAAGATGATGATCATCTTGATCTTCATTGGAGTCGAAGATAAAATCGGCATAAAACTGCACATTATGCCCGTAAATCCATATACGAGCTAAGATGGTAAGCTAAAAATGGAATAATGCTACACGGGTCATATTTTGAGAACCGTGACAACCAAGTATTCATGTTGTATATCATGATGAATAATCAAACTGTATGATATTCATTATGAATAATATTCATGATCAAGGAATATTTAGGTATATTCATCATGAATAGTTAGGTATATTCATCATGATGATTCATGAATACTCGGTTCTCAAAATATTTAAAGTTCCTAAATGAACTTTCCCTTGCTACAATATACGCGTAGTTCAATTGACGAGATCCATACATGCATCACCAACGCATTATGTACATTGATCCAAAACGCTAGCTTCTCTTCGTGCTTCAGTTTTCTCGGATCTATCTCTTCTAATCGAGAAATAAGTGACCTACAATACGCCAATAATACACGTTATAATTCCAATAAACAAACATAACGATAGTCTAGCAACAATGCAACGAGAAATTCTTATTTGATTACCTGAAATTTTGCAACATATGTTCGATGTCACCCAATTTTTGGCCATCTCTAGAAATAGATTGGATTTCAACCATTGTACTATAAGGTCCACTGAACTCCTTAAGCCCTTGGACATGAAAAGGATTATCTAATCGCACATCAAAAGACGACGAATCCCTTCTAAACCCCGGGCTCCACAAAATGTCGGAATGGTCTTTTGGCGAAAAGGCACTCATTGAGGACAAAGATGAAGTAGGAGATGAAATCCCGTGATTTGTTAGAGGCGGGTCCGCAAGCTTGCAATATACAGCGGACATACACTTGATGATATCTTCCGAGAGCTTGTTCGGTGTTTCGGGAATATGATCACAAATCCTAGTACCAAGGTGCTCGGCGAGACTAACTATGTTTGAGGTATTATTTTGAGCATACTGCATAGAAACAGTAGGAATTAATAATCAAATCTTATTTGCAACGTTTTACAGAAGATTATCAGACACTACGACAGAATTGGCTTTATAAGGACGTCAAAAATGTCTTAATAGACTGCTTTATAGGACTTAAGTTTATCGAATCAAACAACTCTTCGCACAATGTAAGGGTGTTATGATAGGATGTTAGAACATATTTGGGCAGCGTAACAAGCTTTTTAGGACATTTTTAAAATAAAGTGTCGTGCAGCTTTTTTAGGACACTTTCGTGTACCAAAGAGTCATGTATAGCTGACTGAATAAGTTGTAAGTCCCACTAAGCTCATTAAGCCAGTACCAAAGAATCATGTATAGCTGACTGAATAAGTTGTAAGTCCCACTAAGCTTATTAAGCCGCTAACAAACAAGCACTTACACATTTTTTACGTCTTATTAAGCCAAGCTTTTTGTAGTGAGATATATATAGATATACCTCCATCATGGATAGTGGCTGTGAATGGCACGCACGTAACGCTTTACCAAGAGTCTCTGCTGGCGTTTCCATTGACAAGATCGAATGTTGAGATAGTGAAGAGTGACAACGATGAACACCCGAATCTAAAAGCAGATCGTCTTCTCCGGTGCCTTCGTTAACATCTTTCCATGAGTTAATTTCTGATGGAAAAATGGCCGGATCTGCAGGGTTTTCTGGTTTCAACGAGATATCTGCTCTGCAAGTTTCCAAATACTTGCCTCTTGGAGTCATCAATGGTGATTTTAGTGACTCATCGTTTCTTAAGGGAGATGGGCATGAAATTTGTTGATCAAATGCTTTGCGATATAATGATAGAAGATATTGCTCTAAATGTGAAACTTCGTACTCTAGAACAGCAATGTCCTTAATCAACTCTGTTGCCGGCTGCAAAAATTACGCGTATAACCATTTTAGAAACTTGACACAAAAGATGTATATAGCTTCATCAGTGTCGGCGTCCCACATCAGGTAGACTTGGATACTCTTTCTTCGATATATGTTCAAACCCCCTTCTCTCCTCAAGGGCTCTGGCTCTTTTCGAGAGTAATCTATTGGGGTTCCACATACTCTAACATGGTATCAGAGCCAATACTGGATCCTACCATTTGAGACATCTTTGCCCGTCTAGCCTCGGTTGGACGGGCTAGTTAGAGTCTCACATCAACTAACTTTTTTGGAGAGTAATCTATTGGGGTTCCACATACTTTAACATGGTATCAGAGCCAATGTTGGATCTACCATATGGGACATCTTTGCCCGTCTAGCCTCTATTGGACGGGCGTGTTAGATTCTCATATTGACTGATTTTTTTGGAGAATAATCTATTGGGATTCCACATATTCTAACATAGTATCAAAGCCCAGGACTATCATCTCGGACATCTTTGCCCACGACTCGACATTCTGAGACATCTTTGCCCGTCTAGCCTCCCGTGGAGGGGGAAAGTCAGAGTCTAACATCTGCTAGACTTTGACAATTTTTTCTTCGATAAATGTCGAAAACCCCCTTTTTCTTCAGGAGGCATCTTTTGGAGAGTAATCTAACGGGGTTTCAGATATTCTGACAATCAGAAGTAGAGCAATTACCTTGGGAATAGAGGCTTGATTTGTGATCTCATGGGAAGATGATCGATAACCCAATGCTTGTTCTAAAGCACCACGAACAGCAACTTGGTCTTGTAATCTTTTCTCAAGCTGCAGTATCTGAGGACCGAATAAAAGTTCCGAAAAAACAAAATAAGTCGATACATATACGGTTTCTTGAAAATGTGGTCTGCAGACAAGAAACGGTACCTCATTCCTCAACGAATTCTGGATGTCGGCATTAGGTACTTGATTCTTCTCCGAATTTATACAACTCTTATTCTGGTATCAAACATGAAAGCAACTTCTATTAAAAAAGCCCAGATTTGCTTAATTCATTCAGACAACTTAATCCATATAGAGCTTAATAAAAAAACATGTGTACTCACCAACTTAATGCTGTTAGAATGGTCAAGACTATCTTCTTCAAATCCATTCTTGCCTGGAAAGCTGCCATTGACAAAAGGGTAAAAATACCATTTTGGAATCAGATTCTGACAGAATTTAAGGGCAAAATTCATCTTTGGTTAGACTTAAACAGCAACAATAACTGAACTAATACAGCAATCATAACGCATAGAAATCAAAATACTAGAAATTTCGCATAAAAACATGAAAAAGGCTAGAAAAAAGAATGAATGCCTGCAGCCCAGATCCAAGATTTCATACAAGTTACGAGTATCCATTGTCTTCCCCCCTCTTTGAAAATGAAAATGTTGAGTATTAATAACATAAAGAAAATGTTGGATTTGTTGGCTATGCCAATTACCCATAATTTATTGTCTGTAACCCACTTCAGACGCCATTTCTAGTTGAAGAAATCAATCAAAATCAGACACCAGAAATCGAAAATAAATTAACATCTCAAAAGAAATCTGGTGGATACCTTTTAGAACGCTTGTGGGTACAAGTTTCTACTCCCAGTTTACTACTCATACCACACTCTTCTAAGCTCATATCTGCAAGCAAATCATACACAAGTTGGTGATAATTTTCACCAACCATAAAGACAGAAATACACCAAGTTTGGGTTTCAACTTCAAGATTAAGAAAAAGGTAGAAAAATGGTCACAAGATTACCATCAAAATCTTTGACAAGAAAAGCAGGTACCAAGTACTAAAGATCGGATTTCTAGCAGACCCACAAGCTCAAATCATGAAATGGGTCCTCAAAAACTTCAGAAATCATGGTCAAAATCGCAAGTTCTCTTCTTGCATTGCTGTAATCAGACAATGGTGGTGTCTGAATCACAAAAGGAGCTTAATGAATGAGAAAGAACAGAGGGTTTGCCCTTTTACCCACTGTGTAAATCCTTAATCTTTGCAGGTTTTCTTTCGGGAATTTGCTGAAAGAAGTAAAATGGTTTGTGGGCTTTGGTTGGAAGAACAAGAAAGGCTGGTATTGGAGGCGGAAAATGGGGGAAATGTCAAAGGGGATCAAATTATTTGGTTGAAGAAAAGGGATTACGATTAAATGAAATGAATCGAATCAAAAAGATGATGAATTTGATAGGGATTCGGGGTCTATTTTCTGTGACTTTTTTTTAATATAAGATGGCTTTCGTTAGTAGTAAAGCAAATGAGATTATATTATGCCCCAATTTTCGTTGGTTTGCAGACTCTTGTAGCAGAGAGAGTTGGCTTCGTCCACCTTTGTCCCATACTGCATAATCATATATATACTCAGGCGTACCTTCTTCTTTATTATACCACGGTGGTTCATGTAAGATCAACTTGTTTTATGTGACGAGGTATCATAAACAATATTAAAACTTTATAACAAAACATTGTGAATGTATGAAAAACATCGAACATTCACAACAAAAACATTATAAAAGGTTAAATTTTTACAGTATTTTTATTGTGAAAATTCAATATTATTTATATAGTCTCTCGAAAAAAAGTTAATCTCACATCATGAACGTTGGATTGATATTTCAAATTTTGTGTTATCAGCTCCTTTGTATCTCCTTGAAAAATCAATAATGATATTTAAATATAAACTATAATCTACTTTAAAAAAGAAAATTATAATCTTGAATTTTTTTTTACTGTCTTTTTGACATTGTTATTGTTTGTATGTCGTATCCAAAAGTGTTATAATAAGTTATTAAGAATATTTTTAAATACATGATCCTATTAATCTTTTTATAAAACATTATTTGAAAAAATGTTTTATAAAACAATAAAAAACGTGTTTATAGGGTGCTTCTCACAAAACGGCCTATAAAAATGTTAGTGAGACTTTGTTTCAAAAGTGTTCTAAAAAGTTTTTTAATATGTCCATCGTTTTATAAACTTATTGCAACACATTTAGATAGAGAATATAAGTGTTTGGTCATATAAACTTAAATCTTATGAAGTAGTCGATTAAAATACTTAAACACTTTTCGCATTCTATAAACCTAATTTTGTTGTCTTGTTGTGTTATAAGATGTGGGTCTTCTTGAAAATGGTTTATCTGCCTTATAAGATAGAGGAAATATCTGCATACATTTTACCAGCTTAAAATCTTTTAAATTATGTTTAAAAGTTAGAAACGGAGACACAAATGTACGTTTTGGTGTAGTCATTTTCAATGAACCAAAAGGGCTTATTCCGTGCTTTTCAAATATGTAATCATGAATTCTAAGATAAAAATCAACTAAAAGGTTAGTCTTTAATAATTTGGTTATTTGGCACATAGTCAAAAGCATTCGATATTCGATTATGTATCGACATAAAAGGCGTCTGTGTAGACCTACTTAATAAAGAAGAAAACCAAAAAGATAAAAAGATTACACCCTTTGAAATTAAATATTGATTCGTTAACGTTTTGATGATTTTTTGTATGAATTGAAAAGATAGATCGGTTTATATTTATAAAAAATTATAATCTAATCGATATGTTAACATAAATACATCATTAGTGTATATCAAGTGTGATACAAGATATTGAACAATCGTACGTATCCGGATCTACTTTTTGGTCGGCTTTTGATGTTGCATGAGTAGCTCGTCCCGTTTGTGGTAGTAGCTTGGTTATCTTAAAGTATTAATGTAACACCCCTAATATAGGAGACAGTTTAAACCGAAAAATTTAAATGGAAAGAGAGCTTAGCAGATATAAAAATCACCCAATAAAGTGGATATAGTGCAAGAGTTCACATCAGAAGAATGGATGCTAGACAACAACCTAAGAATCTACACTAATTCGAAATATAGATTACATTCAAGTGTCGTTAATATCCTCAAAAAAGTTGCATCTAGTAACTCTGTAATTGCACTCGAAGGTGCAAATCCCAAAAATGCCCTTGTCGGCAAGAATGGTCCACTCATATCTTGGATGCCCTATCGTTAAGAGAATCTGATATACATGTCATTGAGAAAAAAACGTTAGTTTTAACACATAGTGAGAACAAACAGTTATTGAATAAAGTTATTAAAACATTAAAACAAAAAGTGAAGCTTTAAATTGGTTGTTTGCACAGTAAACTCACAATTATCCTTGGAAGGGCGTAAGACATCTGAATATAACAGGGAGACCCGATTTACCATTCGTTATGACGAAACACATAAGTAGGCCACAAGCTAATGTTATTAGAGCATCACATATAGGTATGAAATCATTGACATTAACCAAAACCAGTCATTTAGTCAATTGTGATCATAAGTTCGTTCACTCAGAAATTACATAATAATCATAATGCTTATTTTTATGCTACGGTGAAGGAATGAATTGGAAATTACATAATAATCATAATGTTTATTTCCAATTTATAAATAAGAGTTTTATTCCTTCGCATATTAGATACAAAACGACTTTTATGCTTATGGATCCATTGTATTATAGCCATAAATATATTCCTATACTAACAAATCACTGGGGTACCAAAAGTGCGAAGGTGGCTTGTGATGGTAGCGTCGTGGTCACTAGGGTCGCATATGCCAAGATCCCCCACTTACGGTACCTCAGATGCGACCTTCGTTGTGTGATTCTAGGGTCGCACATGTCAAGTATTGCTCGAAACTTCCTACACTAACAAAATCAAGGTTTATCTTGAAGGCATTCCTTAACCACATAAAAACTTGGTTTACGAACCGAAAATGGAGCGTACTTAAAACCAAGATTTTACTAGAACTTAATTAACTAAAATACCAAATTCTAAGTGTTAAAATTAAACTTTTGTTTAGGTCTCCGTTGGTATCCATTTATTATTTCATGTCGTAGTTTTTTACAGTAGGGGAAGTGTTGCTTGAAGTTATAGTTAGTACTCTTTTATTTCGTTTTATACTATGTTGCCTTTCAAACTTTAACCGTAGTTTAACTTTGCTTACATATGGGTAGTAAATATCAATCCGTAATTGACTTGTTTAGATTATATATTCAATTGCATATGTTTTTTTATTGCCTAAACTCTTATTCTTATACGATCTTTCGTGTATATATATATATATATATGTATATGTGTGTGTGTGTTTATATATAGAGAGAGGGGGGGGGGGAGAGTGTGTGTGGACCCTCTCTTTTAATTCTTAGTTCTTGAGACAATCAAATAAAGCATGTTTAGTCCCTTTTCCTTATGAAATTTTGATGAAATAAAAGCCTTCTAAACTAATTCTACTAAAGAAAACTTATTATCATTATAATTTCAAAATATATATGATGATACACAACAAATTAATACGGTTGCACATTTCATGAATCTAATTTTTTTTACCATTTGATAGAGGATTAATACAATAGCACGTGCCATCATTAACATCAGTGTAGGTCTATCCATACCACAAGAAAAAAAAAAGGTATAAAAAAATATCACCTTAAAAGAATTGAAAAGCTAGGTGCAAAAGGTAATTGAAGAAGACAATGATGCTTTAAAACAAAACCAAATTTGTGGGATTTTGATTAGAAATCAAAATTTCATGAAAAACATATAGTAAGTATTCTGTTAGCGGATGTTTACATAAATTAACATATAACATACATCATATTAAGGTATATCAGTATATTTTAATTTATGTTAACGCTTTACTATAACGTTCAAATTTATTTCTCATGCGATCTAGTTATATATACAATGTATATCTATATGTATACATATATATACGATGTATATGTATGTATGTGAGAGAGAGAGAGAGAGAGAGAGAGAGAGAGAGAGAGAGAGGGGGGGGAATACAAGTTGACATTTGTCTTCAAGTATGAAGGGAAGTATTGTTTGTCAAAGAATCCATATAATATAGAATTAAAAAGCAATATATAGACTTTAATAATGCTTGACTTTTTTCAGAACTGTTTTTTGTAAGTTAGTAGAAATAAGGGAGTAACCAATGCCTTCTTTTTGTCCTTACCTGCATAATCCCCATCCTCCTACTCACATATACATACATACATACATATATATATATATTATATATATATATATATATATATATCAACAAAAGCTTCTTTTTCTTTTTCTATCTTTTTTGTGATTCTGCTACACAAAAGTGTGTGATAAGTCTGTATACCCCTCTCTGTGTTTAGATGGAGATTTGAAGGCCAATAATTAATGCACTTTTAATGAAATTTTAGATTGGAAAATGCAGAAAACCCCACAAGTTAACTCATGTAACAAAACTACCAAAACACTTATATGTCTAAATGTAAAAGTTGACTGAAAGCATTGCCGTTGTAGCATACTCGTTAAGACTCAAGGGATACGGTGGAAATCTTATCTTCCTCGGGTTTCTAAGCTAAGTGTTGTCAAAACCCTTCTAACCATGGAGGTTCACCTACGATGACTCTAGGTCATTCATAGTCGTCGAAGGATTAATCGATGCACGTAAACTCGCCCACATACCCACGGTCACCCAAAAAGAATTGACCGAATTTTCAAAAACCTTGCATATATATATATATATATATATATATAAACTTCTATTTTATCGTTGGTGTCAATTTTTACTGGTAATGAATGGTTACTCCCAATGACAATCTAAGAACCAGATCAGATGCAGCAGGATGCTTGGACAAAAAGGATCAA